GGGGCCGTCCCAGGCCGGGGGCCCCTCTTCCTTCCCCTCCACCAGCATCTGCACGGCTTCCTCCAGGTCCCCCCGCGCCTTGGCCAGCACCCACTGGGCCTGCTCCACCGAGCAGGTGGGGAACACCTCCAGCAGCACGTCCACGCCGGGCAGCAGCTCCTCCTCCGCTCCGCCGGCCTGTGGGCACGCACGGGGCGGGAGGCGGGGCTCCCTCCCTCCTGCCCCGCCCCGCCCCGCCCGGTTCCCTCCACCCTACCTCGTCCTCGGGGTCGCCGGCAGCAGCAGCCATGGGAGCCCGGGCCTCTTCCTTGAGCTTTGCAGGCCGCTGCGGGGGCTCTGGGGGGACGCCAGAGGCCTGCGGGTGCAGGTTCTCTGAAAGTGGCAGCGCAGTCAGGTGTGCCAAGGCCTGGGGCGCCAGCTGCCAGCTGCCCAGGGACCAGACCCACCTTTGTTCCTGGCGTCACTCAGCTGCCCTGAGAGCTTCTGCATCATGGCCCCGACGGTACCCCTGGGGAGACAGGGAGGCAGTGAGGACGACGCCCGCCGGCCAGCCCGCCCCGCCTCCAGCAGGACCCACCTGGGGATGTGGGCAAAGCCGGGCACGTAGGCTCCCATCATCTCGGTGAAGGCCTCCATGTCGAAGTTCTCCTCGGACGGGCCTGCGGGCCCCAGGTCCTCCAGGACCCCCAGCACGTAGGAGAAGATGACCCCATCCAGGCCGCTGCGGGAGGGAAGGACGAGGTCTGGTGGGCCCGACATCTCCAGTTCCCTCCTCTCCGCGGGTTCTCAGGGCCAGGAGGGCAGAAGCGGCCGCCACTCTGCCGCAGGCCGAGTGCTCCCCCAGCCTCCCGCCACCCAGCCCAGAGCACGGCCCGGCCTGAGCCCGAGCGGCCTCTACCTGAGGTCAGCCTCCGGGAGGTGTGTCTGGACAAAGGCCAGGAGGGCCGCGCGGACGGTCCTCTCCAGCTCCATGTTCACTCCTCTCCTGAGGACACAACACGGGTCACCAGGCCTGCCCCTGCCTGCCCCACGGCCGAGCACAGCCCCCGCCCACCCCTTGCCACCCGGCCAGACAGGCCCCCAGAGGGAGGTGCCCATCCCCCCGCCTCTCACACACTCCCCAGCAGCAGGCCCAGACCCTCTGGCCAGGAGCCGAGGTCTCAGGTCACATGCCTTCTGGTGGAGGAATCCCGTCACGAGGGGCCACTTGCCCCAAGTCCAGCCACAAGGGGCCCCATTGTCCAGCCTCTCAAGGAGCAGGCCACCCACCCTCTGCACAAAGGGGCTCTTCTGGCTCTGGGGCGCAGAGCAGAGAGGCAGGCCTTCCTGGGTCCCCCTCCCAGCCGCTCGAGGCTGCAGAGGCCTTCCACCCCTCCGAGGCCCACGGAGCCCAAGGGCCGGCCTCGTCCTGCTCTCCAGCCTCACCCCACCCAGCCGAGCTGTGTCCTTGAGTCCCAGGGCTCTCCCACATGTCATCTCCCCGGGCGCCCTTTGCTGACGGACCTCGGAAAATATGTTCCCCGATCCCCAGCACCTCGCCCACCCCGCATGACCCTGTGTCTATGTGTCTCTGCCTCCTGTCCATCCCCCATGGGCTCCCAGAGCAGGGTGGAGACAGGATGCCTGGACACTACCTCACCCAGGAGCCCTGGCACCAGGAGGCGCCTGCTCCCAGCAGGTGACACGGGTGCAGCAGACACCCCTGCATCTGTGACTCAGAACACGCAGGTACACGTGAAGCCCCAGGCCTCAGAAGGCTTGGGGCACCGCAGAGCCTGCGCACCACCCTCGTGGCAGCCCCTAACCTCCATGCACCTGGCCCATGCACACTGCCCCACCCGCGGCGGGCTGCAGCCCCCATCTGGGGATAGCCCGGACCCTGCCTGTTCTTCGCTAATCCCCCAGCCTCCGCTCCAGGGGTGCCCAGCACTCTGAGCTGCAGCCGCCGCTCACTCCCCAGGGTTTGGTCTCACGAGGCTGCCCGCACAAGCTCACCAATTCTGTTTCTTATCTAAAAAGGTTGAGAAATCTAATGGGGTTCACCCATTAAACTATCGACCCTTTCAGCAGCGCCCACGGGGCCTTCTGAGACCCCATGCTCTCTTGGCATCCTCCTTTGCTGGCCACATCGCCTGGACTCCCGCTCTGCCCTGTCCCTGCTGCTGCCCTCCAGGTGCAGGGAGGTTCCAGCCTCGAAGCTGCTGTTCCTCGTCCCCGAGTTTCTCGTCTCCATCCCTCGGGAGATCCCATCTGGGCCCCACCTTTACGGACTGGCCGTGTGTCGCCCACCCTCAAATGGCCAATTCCAGTGCAGCCTCCTCTGAGCTAGACTTGGACACGCACCTCCCCGACTGCCTGCCACAGGCACGTCACAAGTGTCTCACGCTTAAAAAATATCAAGCTGCGTTCTCCTGTTTCTTTGTCCCTCCAAGGCTGTTCTCATCGGTGCCCTTCAGGCACCCAGCGTCCCCGCCACGCGTCCGGGAACTGCCCTTCTTTTTATTTCTTAGAGCCAGGCTCGCCGGTACCCAGACTGGAGTGCAGTGGCAAAAGCAAAATAATAGCTCACCACAGCCTCGACCTCTGGGGCTCAGGCGGGCCTCCCGCCTCCGCCTCCGCCTCCTAAGTAGCTGGGACTACAGGTGCACACCCCATGCCCAGCCAATTATTTTGATTTTTTGTCGAGATGAGGTCTTGCGATGCTGCCAGGTTGATCTCCTGGGCTCAAATGATCTGCCCACCTGGGTCCCCCACAGGTGCACCTGGCCGGGGGAACTGTCCTCGCCACCACCCTGTACGCAGCTTCCTCTCCCCAGTCAGCCCCCAAGCCCTGAAGTCTCTTGCCCGTAGAGCCCCCGGGCCCTCCCGCCTCTGCCACCCTCCCCAGCAACCGGTCTCCAGCCCACAGCCGTGTGATCTTCGCAAAAGCCGTTCTTCTCCTGCTTAAAATCCACCGGTTCAGATGGGTGCGGTGGTTCATGCCTGTGATCCCAGCACTCTGAGAGGCGGAGGCAAGAGGGCGGCCCGAGCCCCGGGGTTTGAGACCAGCCTGGACAACTTGGTGAGATGTTGTCTCTACCGTAAATCACAAAAACTAGCCGGGTGTAGTGGCGTGCATCTGTAGCTCCAGCTACTTAGAAGGCAGCATGAGACTCCAACT